AAAAATGATTTGAACACAGCGTTTTTTTAAGAACTTGTCTGGGCACCAACCATGGTAGTGCCTCGCAATCATGGGAGTCGGGCACACTAAGTTTAACAAGCTTGCTACCCCCTGAGTGACCCAGTTGTGGTATTTACATAAACATACCATGCAAATACACTTAACTGATCAGATTCGGTCTATCAACACACAATGTAACGTTGTATATCCAAAAATCTGTTTCAGAAAATGCTTACATTTTAGTTCTAGGGGTGGAAAAATACAAAACATTTTCTGGGGGAGAATCCCCGGACCCCCCTACTAGTACATACAATACCACACCAAACTTTTTGTCACCAACAACCATCTGTCATCTCTCCGCACTCAATATAGTATGGTCCCTTTTTGTAGATGTCCACCCCAAAGCAGGGAAATTTTGAGTATCTAGATTGTTGGAAATAGCATTTTCAGAGTCTTCTTTTTTGCTATTTGTGATTATAGAAATCAGAACTCTAGACATGGTATTTAAGTTCAAAAACTTTTATGACCCCCCTCCCCTTTCTCTGTGTTAAATCTTTTTTGACCCCCCCCCTATTTATAAGGGTAAAACTTTGTCCTCCCCCCTCCCATAAATAATGACCACTCCCTTACAAACTTTGCAATAATAGGACGATGGGGGCAGGGGAAGTAGGGGACTTTGACGTGACAATTTGAATTTTATAAATGAAGTACATTATTGGTGTGAACTCAAAATCACAGGCTCACACAGAAAAATATCGATCGGCAACTTATTATTTATGATATTTTGTACTGGTCTTGCTAAAATTTGAATAAATAAATACGGAATACATGAGTGCCATTGTGATACCCCAGTTTGTATAATAATTTTTAATTGTTTGTATGCTATTTATATTATGAACTACTTTATTGTAAGCCCAGGGGGAGGGCAGTTTGACTTACACATTTCCCGGGGGAGGGAGGGGGAATTAATGCATTAGAATCATGTTTTTGCAAAGTCCCGGGGGTGTACCCCCAGGGCCAGGCCATTGATATGTGCATTATATACAAGTAGTAATCGAGTTGAAATATTATATAGTAGTAATAAATTATAGTATATTTTAATAAATGAATGTATGGTACAGTACAAGTGCTTCATGCCTCACCTGTAGTGCTTTTCAGCTTTTGTTGTTTATTTATTAACATATGGAAACAGAATCACCATAGTCCTCGAAATTTCAAAAGTTTGTTTCCCATCATGACAATTATTTCAATTTCTCGTTAATTTAGTAATTTATTACTCATTTTCTACGGCTCCACACAAAATACTGTAGGTCTGCACCTACCGATACTCCAAAAGCATACATGCGACATGGCCAAAATACCACCATTCGTTCAGCTCATTTATATTATCTGTTTGGATCATCATTTATACATTTCACAGCAGAAATTGTGGAGATAGTCGCTCGAATGAATTAATGATCCAGCTTGAACTTGATAGTAGTTGGTAAAGTTCACAAGAAACCTTTTACACCTATATGTAACTATAAATATTTACTAATTTCAAATCTTCTCCAATGTACTCCTTTTTTAAAAATTATAAAGATCAGTGGCTCTCTGGTCAGGGGGGAGTGGGAAATGTCGCCCGCACGCATTTGAGCTGTGGTCAGTTAACGTACCATGAGAATAGTGGACGTGGAGCCAGTGAACTCTAATAATAACTGGAAGGCTAAGTCAGGGGGGGAAGTTGAAGCCGTGCTTGAAGCTTTTTTTGTAGGTAGACCCAGTCCTTTTTAAATTTTTTTTTCAAAATATGCACATTTTTTGATCAGAAAATCTTGCCCCAAAATATTAGTTATACTACCAAATTTAATTTATATCAGTAGTATGATAAATGAATTTAATATTCGCAAAGCAAACAAATCACGAATTAGCAAAAAAAATGCGAAAAACACGACCATAAGCATGAACGGTCTGAAAAACCGCGCGTTTTAGGCTGCTTTTTCTGAGTTTTTGGAAGATTAAGATAAAACTAAGACGTCACACCTCAGGAATTTTTTATACCCATGCAAAATACATCTGTATGCGAAGTTTCAAGAAGATTTAACGTTTTAAGGTCGAAAAAAAAGCATTTGAAAATTGACAAAAATATTGCCATATTCAAAGTGCTCAAAGTGGCCAACAAGATGCCGATGACGAAAATAACATCACTTGAAAAACGCCAATTTATTTATGTTTAAAAGCGACTAAAACAAGGACTAAAAGCTCAGGATCAATAACAATACCTGGGGTTTAGTACAACATAAGTTTTGGGACTGTCAAAATGTTTTATAGTATATATTTTTGAGTTGAACGGCGAGATTTCCTTCGGCACATCCAAACTTTCGTCATTTTTTTAAAATACAAAAGCAAAATTCCTTACTTTTTGCTGCAGAGAGATGTAAAACAGTCGGAACTAATCGGAAACTTGGTTTAAATCCCAAGTCATTGTTGTATTCCCATGGGAAAAGTGTTTTTCTTGCAAATTTTTGCTCGAAAACAAACTTTTGACAGAATTTTTTTCACTCCTCGAAACTCTCCTTAGTCCTTTTGAAAGCTGATTTTCCCGCGCGCCGGCTTCAACGAATCATAGACTTTCATCATAGGAGTTAGCCTTCCAGTTATTATTAGAGTTCACTGCGTGGAGCTCGAAATCCGCCATGTTTTTGCGGACACTTTTCATTTGCGAGCACGATCTCCAGATATATATAGTAGAGCTCAGTGGGTGGAACTCAGCCAAAAAAGTGTAACCGGCCGCCAAAAGCTTAGCCAGTGCGCTAAAGAGAGGCATTCACCCCCCCGAACTCAAATTTCAAGATGGCGCCCGAGTGTTTCAGAAAATAATCGGCACGAGAAACACCACAGGGAGCCCATCCCGGGTCTTATTGAAGTTATGTATTAGAATTACGTATGAAATATATAGCTCAGTGTTGAAGCCTGCGACTTGCGTGCGGGCTAACGTGCGCGTTGAATACACAATAAAGAAAATAATAAAGGGATGAAACATCGACGAGTGCCTGGAAGCCCAGAATTCAAAGCACAGTATCAGTGTGTTTAAATAAAAAGGTCAGAGTTTTATTACGTTGTAAGGTCCTCTAGGGCCTGTTCTTTCATATCGTCTAGCCAAAACCTTCCAAATAGTTGCTAATGAGGAGAAATATTTCGATTGATCGCACAGCAGTGTATGGTTGGATATGTCTGGATGTGTTCCACAGGTTGCTATGACATGCTTAAATGCTTACTTATTTCCTACTACACACTCCACAGATGTCTAAAATCATATGGAAAATATTAAATAGTATTGTTATTAGCTGTTGGCATATTCGAATATAAAACACATATAAAATTTTAGACACATACAAAACAAAATTTCAAAATCAGTGATCGGCCGATTAGCCGGCCGTGAGAATTTCAAAAAATATGTGAATTAACTAACCAGTAAACCGCAATATTTTTTGGATTTTCCAAATTAGTTGCATATGACAAGCTTGTAATCAGAAAGGTAATTTATGAAAGAAGTTCTTTTGTTGAAATTTATAGAAACTTAAATCGATAATTTCTCAATGTCATAGCAACCTATGGAACACATGCTTCCAGGCACTCGTTGATGTTTCATCCCTTTATTTTTTCCTTTATTAAGCATTCAACACATGCTTAGCCCGCACACAGCCCGCAAGTCGCAGGCTTCAACACTGAGCTATATATTTCATACGTAATTCTAATACATAACTTCAATAAGACCCGGGATGGGCTCCCTGTGGTGTAGACGGGGTTCTCCCTACTCACATCCAATAATCAATATATTGAACTATTTGCGCTGAAGAACAGATCACAAACTCTGTTTGCGTATTATATCTTCAACCTCGCCATTCTTATCCTACAATATATCATCAGTAGTTAGATATGGTTGCAGGAAGATCATCACCAAACGCTGAACAGAATAGTCAAACTTCACAAGATAATCTGGAAAAAGAACCCATTCCAAAGAAACGAAAACCGAGATATGCGTCGCTCTTTATATGCCTCTTCACAGCCACAGGAATAATCGTTTACGGCTTCGTTGAGAAATCAGTATTCGAGTACAAACCAGTCAATGATATTTCCACTAATATAGTGGAACGAATTAAGAATGGATCGATTATAATTTACACAATGGAAAAAAAGGAAACTTATCCAGTTTTGTTTAATCTTGGCTTGGGATTATTGTCCATTATTCTCGGCACTTTTGTTGATCGTTTTTCTCTTATATTTGAGGAACTCTCTCAGCTTAGAAGTCGTTACAACCGAAGCATTGTCAAGATGTTTAAAGCTTGTTTTAGCGGAATCTCGTGGCCTGCAGTTCTCGTAATTTTTCTGGTCGGTGCAATAAGCCTCGTACTGGCGAGAATGACTTCGTTTAAACTCGGAGATCTTGTGTATATCTTAGGCGGAATCGGTGTTGGCCCACTTGTAATGCATCTGCTTAACCTCAACATACAATCCGAAGTTGATATTTCAAGGCTTCTCGAAGAAAGGAGACTGTATCCCGCATACACCATTGCGTGGAATTACTACTTCCACTATCTCAAAAAAGCTTTGCCAATATTCAACGAATGTTTCTCCGAAAGTAATATTCCAGTGCAAGATCAAGGCACAGGTCAAGGCTCAACAGATCAAAGCGCACAGCCAAAAGTACAGTTACGTTTGAAAAAACTGATCGTGATTATTCCATACAATTGTAAAATGAAAAACAATTTAGAGGAGCTCGACAATCATATCAAAAAAATAACTGACATAGGAAACAACGGATACAATTTTCCAGTTTATGGGCTAACACACAATGGAAAGGAAGACCAATACGTTATAGTATACGCCAATGAACCTTTGGAAACTATCAGAGAGATGAGTAAGTGTGAGCGAATTAAAGCTATACATGAAAATGAATGTGGACGCGAAGTACAAGTGCTGTATGAAACATTGCAATTCGAAATTCTTAAAGACTCACTAGACGATGTGTGCGATGACATGTGCGTCATCGTACCAATAATGGCAGATACTGCAGGAAACTTACAAAATGGAGGGCTTGTTAAATTAATAATGCATCAAATCAAAGAAGACGAATGCCTACCTAACCAGGATAAGCAGCCTGGTTTCATAAAAGCACCCACCCCATGCACCAACAAAACAGTGCATTCACCACAGGAGACAGGCAACGTTTCAGCCCCAGATCTGGAAGAAAAAGGCATGTTAAGTATTGTATTCGATTCTGTCTGATGGTGAATTGATCAATTCAAGTATAAGGGACCAACAATAAATCAACGTTGTTTTTGACAGATTCGTCCTTTAATAAATCCAGTTATAGTTATCCAGAACAACTTAAAATTCATGAATAGGACAAAAATAAGATTTTAAACAAGGCAGTTCTAAACAGCGCTTATTTATAAGGGGTTGTATACTTCAATCGTGTTCAGTTCAGCTAGTGTATATTATTTTATTATTATAATTATTATAAGACACTATTCAGCTCCATGGGGACTTTTCAGTGACCGATTACGTCAAGTATTATTTATACTCACTTATCATTACTTACTTAGCCTAGACTAGCAGTCCGTGCCTTATCAGATATAAAGCATGCATTGGACTACGAGTATTTAAAAAAACGACTCATCTTATGAGTTCATTGACGAAGTAATTTTAAAAATCAACGTTGTCTAAGTCTAGCCTTAGAAAATCAAAGCTAAGCATAATTTTTTATCGGATATAAACCACCGACACCGTCGTGATTTCCTTCGTTTTTTCCTCATGAATTATCGAGTTTTTAAAAATATTTGTTACACTTTTTAGATCATACAGATTCACCCAGAAGTCATGTAGTGAACATTGATTATTTTGAAGGAAAAGCACAATATACTGAACAGGATTACTTCACTGATAGAAGAAATTGCCATAAAAATGACGCACTACTTCATACTCAAGAGAGGCAGGAAGATATACTTGAAAGAGACAAAGAACTTATCAATGGTAAACCACAAGAAAAAAAGATAGCCGTCAGCAGAAAATTCCCATTAGAGACCGGTCATTAATAATGGGAGGGGTGGTGGGCGGTGGGTGAGAAAAGGGGGGCAGCTTCAACTATGTTTGCCTGAATTGGGGGCGGCCTCAAATTGAAAAATATGTGACAAGGGGCGATCCCAATTTTTTAATACTTTCCTACTCATTTTCGAAATATTTAAACATTTTTTAGTTCCTATAATCGTAGTCTCCATAGTTTATTACGTATATGCAGTTCACCATATGAGTCGGAGTAAATAACAACCATTTTGAATACTGGTCCCCAGTACTTGTCCCATTACTTATTTTACACCAACAAATGTAACGAATTAAATGTTGGAGGGGGGGGGGTCCTAAATTTTCTAGATGAAGGTAGGGGCATCTTGAAAATAAAGGTCTTGCGATTGGGGCGGCTCTAAAAAATGTTCACTGATATTTGGTATTTATCCCCCACTGTCCCCCTCCCATTATTAATGACCAGTCCCTTAATTCTGTTTCTCTTAATATAGAGGATACACAAGCAAATGACAAAGGAAACAAAGTGAAAGATTGCCAGCTGGTCAATTCTGTAAATGGAGAGAGACATAGCCCCAGGGCAACCTCGTTCCCAGGCTCTTCCCTCTTGAACGACGTTGGCTCCAGGAGAGAAATGAGCAATGATAGAAGTATATCATACCACATAGAAGAGACTGAAAATCAACCAATGACAAGTAACTTTGTGAATAAAGAAGAACGCTGTTTCAGTGGAAGGGAGTATGAAGAGAAATCTAATACAAGTTTTAACCCACCAGCATTGAACTGTACAAGAGGGACTGAAAATCAACCAATGTCCATGAATGGTAGAGAAAAATATTTCAAGGATGTAGAGCATTATAGAAGACAATCCGCGAGTTTTAACCCACCAATATCCTGCAACCTAACTGAACAGAATGACAAGCAAGCAATATCTAGAAATGGGGGAGGAAATAGCACTGGGGGAGAAAAGGACGATAAAGAATTAACCACGGGTGATATCCCTTCATATTCTTGCCGTACAGGAGAGAATGACAATCAACCAATATCGAGTGGTAACTCCACAGAAGAAGAGAACTGTCACAAAGTAAGCGTGACTGCACCATATTCCCCACGTGTACAAGGGACTGAAAACCAACCAATATCTGGTACAAGTTCAATTCTGTAACGCAGAGGTGCATGGCAAAAGTATCTTAGCTGCTCTACTTAATGTTCGTAGTAACTTTTCTCATCAAGCATCATTCATGTGCTTCTTGTTTTAACTCTACAGTAGTAGTTTGAATATACTTTTCAGAAACCTGTACTTTTTGTATAAAGACTATATTTTGTATTGAGCTTATACCAGCGCATGCAAGTACGCGCGAGGCAACAACAATTGGCGTACCAGTCAGGTACGATTAAAAGTCTTGGATTATCGCACCCTGCAGTGCATATAGCTTTTGTTTCGTCCTAATTCGCCCGATGAAAACATGATCTTAAAGTTATGCAATAGAGAATTCCCATTATAGACTAATTTTAAAACTAGGCAAAGAGATGCAAATAAAAATGAGTAAAATTGTAAAGTTTGGTTGTGAAATGTTGTAAAATGCGGAAAATATAGCCTTGCAAAGTTTGCAAATTTTGTATACTTTTGGCCCAAACCGGCGACTGAACTTCATCTAATATTACTGTTTAAATAACAAAATTCATCAAGGAAAAAAGTACGAAATGACTTGAGTACAATATCTACAAAATATGGGTTATAAAATATTATAAAATATGGGTTGACTATATTTGGGTTGACGTATTACATATGCGAAACTTTTCAAACGGCGCAGACGTTTGGCACGAGTGTCGGACAGCATTGTCGAGTGCTAGTGGTTGACGGTGTCACAGCGGATTTGGACTTCTTGCGGATATGGAACCCCGGTCCATATTCGCTAGCGGATTTGGACTGGGAGATCCATTTTAACTTTTGAGAGGGGTCCAAATCTGCTGGGACACCGGCCATCGTGCGCAGAACCCTGCATATAACCAAAACAGAAACCTCATTTCAAACACTCATTAATAATTCATAAGCTTATTGGCAAATCATGTCAACCATAATATGTCACGTGAAGAGGCTTTCTACCTGATAAAACTCATCTTCATTAGTATTCTTTATATAAAAGTCCATCCTAATTAGTATTCTTTATATAGAGAATACTAATGGGACGACATCTAATGTAGTTGTGTTTGAAGCTATTCAAAACATGCATAGGCATACCGTATTTACTCGATTGATCGCCGCCCCCGACTGAGCGCCGCCCCCGAATGAGCGCCGCATTTGAGATCAAATTTTTTTAAAGAGCGCCGCCCCCGAATGAGCGCCGCACTAAACAGTGTAAAAACTTTC